CTGTAACAAAATAACACAGGCTGGCTGGATTAAACGACAGAAATGGATTTTCCGACAGGTCTGGAGGCTAGAAGTCCAAGATCAAGGTGTTAGCAGGTTTGGTTTCTTCTGAGACTTCTCTCCTCGGTTTACAATCGCCACCTTCTTGCTGTGTCCTCCCATGGCCTTTTCTCTGAATTCATGTACCCGTAGTGTCTCTTCCTCATTAGAACACTGGTCAGTGGATTAAGACCCACCCATAGTATCTTATGCAAGTTTAATTACTTCTTTAAATGCCCTATCTCCGTATACAGTCATATTGGGGTTTAGGGCTTCAACATATGAATTTTGGGGATGGAAACAATTCTAAAACAATTATGGTCAACACATACAGAAGACATTTTTAACATTTTAAATCTATTTTTCATAATGTCATTTTATACTGAAGGAATCTCTCTAAATTAAAATTTTCTCATTCTTTAGCTTTCATAACTCTTAACATTGAAATTTTTTTCTGTTTGTTCCTACTTTTGAGTCCCTGTGGCTTTTTCTGACTGTGTATTATTTGCCTGAGATATTATTCATGTTCATGACTTCAGTTACCACCTCTGTAGATGGTGAATTTTGCATCACACATCCAGTTCACTGATTTTGGTCCACATATCTGACAGCAAACTTCCATGGTATCCATGGTTCTTATAAGATGGGCATCATCCAATGCCTTTTTGAAATGTAGAATCTTGGAACTTGCCCCCTCCCAAACTGTTGAATCCAAATCTACATTTTGGCCAGATCTTCAGATGATATTATAAGTGTTAAGTTTGAAAAGTACAGTTCTACTTGACTTATTTTCTGGATTTAAAAATATCTTGCACTGAACATGTCAAGAATGGAATGAATTATTAAATAGTTTTCACTCATTTATTAACTTGATAACTACTTATTGAGTGTCTATATCCTTCACCACTGCTACATTGGTGAACAAAGCAAACCAACAATCCCTGCCTACTTCAACCTTTTATTGGAGTGTGGAAGACAGGTAAGAAATGATAAAACATTATAAATAAGTACATTATATGCTCAAATAGAAAGTAATATGTGCCATGGAAAGATGAAAATCTTGAGAAAAATAAGGGCAACCATTAATACAGTGAGGGACACTGAGAAGGTGATGTTTCCTTTATTTCTTTTTTAAATTTAATTTTTATTGGAGTGTAGTTGATTTAAAATGTTGTGTTAGCTTCTGCTGTACAGTAAAGTGAATCCTTTAAACATATACATGCATCCACTCTTTTTTAGATTCTTTTCCCATATAGGCCTTTACAGAGTATTGAGCACAGGTCCCTGTGCTATGTAATAGGATCTTATTATCTCTTTTATTTATAGTAGTGTGTATATGTCAATCCAGACCTCCCAATTTATCCCTCTACACCTTTCCTTTATTTCTTACCTCAGTAAAGATTACAGTCTTTTCATTAGTCACCTGATGGAAGACAATTATTATCTTAACATCTTTACTTTATCTGTAAATTATAGGTTCCTAATGTTTTTCTGATGTTGACTGGCAAGTTTTTTGTTTTTTTTTCCTATCCTCATACGTCTCCCTTTCAACTTGGTTATAGACCCTGTTGCTGGGAAACACTGAAGGCAAAAGGAAAAGGGGGTGGCAGAGGATGATATGGATAGATAGCATCACCAACTCAGTGGACATGCATTTGAGCAAATTCCCAGAGATAGCAGAGGGTAGAAGAGCCTGGCTTGCTGTAGTCCGTGAGCTCGAAAACAGTTAGACTTGGCAACTGCACAATAGCACAACATAGGCCCCTAAGTGGCCTCACTGCACTTCTGTCTGTTTCTACATTACTGCAATGATGATCATGACCTCACTTGCTGGCTGGGAAGCTTTTAATGGCTCTCACTGCCTTATTAATAAAGCTGAAACATCTTATGATGATCAAGATGCTAATCTTGCCTCCTTCTCCCTTTAACTATAATTCCCATGAAGACACTCCTCACTAGCTAAACTAACTGCATATGACTCTCTGAGCACACAGTGATCTCTTTCCTTTTTACCTCCTCTCATCCTGATCTTTGCTGTTTGCTGCTTCTTCTTTTTTTGCATGAAACATGGAAATGTTATTTTTCTATTTCCTGATTCCTTCTCTGTCCTCAAATATGATACTATTTACTAACACTATATTTTTATTGTGGATTTTTATCAGGATATATATTCTTAGAAGGCAGAGCTATTTTGTTTAGCTGTGAATCCCTGGCACCAACACAGCTTGGTATGCCATAGTGTTTAGTACTTTGTGACATATAGTTGATAGTTGATGATTTATGGAAGTCTTCTAAGAGATGATCTTTAAGAGAGAATGAAGACAAAGGCATAGAGGTTTGTTTGGAGAATAACAAACATCTCACTTTTGTGCAACTCTAAGCTGTGGATTGGGTTGCTGAAATTGAGAGAGTGTCTTACATACCTTTCTAAGAAGACTAGATTTCATGCTGTAGAGAATAGAGAGGCATAGATGACTTTATGCAAATGAATGCCATAGTCTGTGGGCTACCAGATTTGAATTTCTATCGATGAATCTCATGGAGGATGGAACGTGACTGTTAAGGAACAAATGGGAAGTATGTCCTCCAGGTGCAGTGATTCCAGTGAAAAGATTAAGACTTAAGCTAAGGCAATGGCAGAAGCATTGGAAAGGAGGCTGGAAAATAAAGATGTAAAGATTGAGGACAAGAGAGAAGGGGACAACAGAGGTTGAGATTGTAGGATGGCATCACTGCCTCAATGGACATGAGTTTGAGCAAACTCCAGGAGATAATGAAGGACAGGGAAGCCTGGCATGCCACAGTCCATGGGGTCACAAAGAGAACACAACTGAGTGACTGAATAGCAACAACATCTGCAGCCATTTGTGCCAGGCCTCTTCATTTCCAGAAGATTCTTTGATTCCAAACAGGTGTTCATTTATGTTGGATAGAAATCAGGAATGGAGTCACACATCTTCTCATTCATTAAACCCCGCTCTCTAAGAAAAAGAACCAGTCAACTTCAATTATGCTTTAGTAGCTGTAGCATGAGAAGTTTGTTCATGCATTATAGTTAGTGGAACATAGCCATCAAGGAGAGACTCATTTTCTAGTAGAGGAAATCGATAAAATATAGATAATCATTTAACTGTGTTAGTGAGAAGATAGAGCATCTTTTTTTTTTTTTTTTGACTGAGCATGAGTTAGAGATTTGTGCTTCCTGTGACTGTTTTCTTATTACTTGTCCAGTCAAGCTTTGCTAAGGAAAAGTGAAAGTGAAAGTTGCTAAGGCGTATCTGATGCATGATTATGCAGTCCATGGAATTCTCCAGGCCAGAATATTGGAGTGGGCACTTTCTCTTCGCCAGGGGATCTTCTCAACCTAGGGATTGAACCCAGGTCTCCTGCATTGCAGGTGGATTCTTCACCAGCTGAGCCACAAGGGAAGCCCAAGACTACTGGAGTTGGTAGGCAGAAAGTGAAGAAGAACTAAAGAGCCTCTGATAAAAGTGAAAGAGGAGAGTGAAAAAGCTGGCTTAAAACTCAACATCCAAAAAACAAAAATCATGGCATCTGGTCCCATCACTTCATGGCAAATAGATGGGGAAGCAATGAAAGCAGTGACAAGACTTTATTTTCTTGGGCTCCAAAATCACTGCGGATCTTCCCAACCCAGAAATTGAACCAGGGTCTCAAAAGTTTGATTAAATACTCACCAGACACTTGCCATGGGAATGTCTGATTTTCTCTATGATTGCAAATCTTACATATTTGAAAGTTGTATTTATCTTTCCAACAGAGTGGTGGTTTTTTACGACTCCAGCAGTTTTATATCACTAGTTCTTCAAATGCCAGTGAGAAAGAAAATTACAAGTTGAAACTGTTGAGGCTTAGTGTTTTCAAAATTAGATTTAATTTTTAAAAGTTTGATTGTTCCAGCTATAATTTATAACCACCTCTGCTGTTTAATTTCATTTTCAAAGAAATTCTTTCAAAAGTTAAAATGGGGAATGTGGTTTCATAATTGCTATATTTCAATCACTCATCCAGATTTCTGAAGTTTACTATCCTTCCAACATTTCCTTCCAACATCTCCTGTCCCTGCCTTTTGGTCCAGGGGACATTTCATCTGGATTAGACTAGTGAGTTTTCTTTTTTTCCCCCAGAACAGCTACGTATGTGAAAAAGTTCGAAACTAAAGTCTTTAAGACTTGCTAAAGTCTTTAAGACTTGGTCTTTTGAAATGCTAGAACTCAATGTTTTGAGACCTCAAAGCTTTGGCTTTAAAACTCCAAAGTCTTGGATTTCTAAATTGAAAAACTGCCGTTTTGTTGAATTTCCTCTTTCCGCAGTTTATGCTGAAAAGGGAAGCAGTATGAGAGGGCAAAATAACTTAGCAAATGTATTATACGTTACTCACTCCAATCACTTTTATTTTCATGCTGCTGAAGTGTGTCACATACCTGAGTTCTCTCATATTTAGTAAAGCTGCATCACTTTATGTCCTTAGACACCAAAGAGAAGACCCAGATGGGAGAATCACCCAAGCTTACTAAACTTTTAATCAGTAAGCAGTCGGTCAGTTTGTTGTAAGCCTCTGACATTTCTATATTGAAAAGAAAGTAGTTAGTATCACTAACTACTGGTAACTACTGGTTTAAATACCAGTAGCTAGTGAGGGCTTTTAGCTAAATAAAGTGACATGTATTTGTGTGTGTGTATGTACTATTCACAGTTTCTTGGACCTATACTTATATAAAGTTCATACCCAGTGAAAACTTTTATTTAAGAGAATAAATTTGAATACATTTTTAAAAGATGTACTTTTTGTCTCTATTGTTAGAGAAGTATTAAATATATGAGAATAAGTAGAGAATTATAAGAGCTGCCTTCTAAACATTATGCATAGCATCATGCCATTTATATTGGCATTTCTTATGAATTTTGGCGTTTAACTGTTTTCTTTGTTTTTCCATCAGAGAATTTATCAGCAGCCTTCGACTGTACAGGACGTTCTATGGGGGCCTGGCTGATCAGCTTTGTGCCAATGAATTAGAGGCCATTGATGGACTACCATGCTGGAATGGAGAAGACATAGTAAAAAGGTATTTTATGTGTATGATCTGTGAAAACTGAGCAGCCACTTTCATCCTCGTATTTATTTTCCCCTCTTCTTGAATGCGTTACTTCAGTTTTAACTTTGCCCCACAGGTCAGAGGATGTATTAATTCCTTCTCTTTTGTTTGTCCAAGAAAAATTTGATTCTTTTGACATTTTAGAAATGTGATAGCATTATGTGGTGTTCTGAAGGGTCTCTTGTCTTTGGTATCCATCTATGGCTTACTAAACAATCTCACTTTTTCTATTAAGTATTATTTAACGTCTAGCCAATCTATCTTGTTTCTCAAATATCTTTTTTTTTAACTTTAATTTTAAAACTATTTAGAAAGTGAGGACATTTAGTGAAATGTGAATACCTGGGCAAAGATTCGTTGATATCTGTATATATGTCACCGCAGGGTCAATATGGGTTTCACAGGTGGTGCTGGTGGTAAAGAACCTGCCTGCCAATGCAGTACACAACAGATGTGGGATTTGATCTCTGGGTCAGAAAGATCCTCTGGAGGAGGGCATGGCAACCCACTCCAGTATCCTTGCCTGGAGAATCCCCATGGACAGAGGAGCCTGGTGGGCTGCAGTCCATGGGGTTGCAGAGTCGGACGTGGCTGAAACAACTTAGCACACAGCACACAGTGTTCATGTGTTTCCTACAGTTGTCTCTTTGAGAGTGTGTGAGAGAGCGGTGTGGGGATAGAGAGAGAGAAATGGAGAAAGCTGGTACTTTTATGTATGTCTGTTGGAGGCATTGTTTATTTATATGCTGTCAATTGTTCTCAAGCTCAGGAGTGAATTTTTTTTTACCTTTTTTTTCTCACTGTCTAGAATTTCTTTGAGTTTATTTTCCTTTGCTTCCTATAACTGGTTGTGCTCTCAAGTAATTTCTTGGGCTTGAGAAAGTCCTATTTTCTCTCTGAAACCATAGTGTTGGTCCATGTAATTGGCCGGAAATTGGTTGATTTTCCAGTGCTAGTGATTATCATAGTATGTAGGCCTGTGCTGTGTGTATATTTGAGTGTTTTAGTGTATTTTATATTGAGAAATCTGCCAAAAGATAGGGTGTTAAATTTTCTGATTTATAAACACGCCTACTCCATATAAGGATAGGTAGTTTAGTTACCACAAAAGTGATGAGTTCATTTAAAATGTCATTTAGCAAACTCAATTTGCCATGATAAACATATACTGTAATTAATGTTAGTATAAATTCATGTAATAAAAACTGTTTATTTCTGGGTGATCATATTCATTATAGTTAAAGGTTACATTCCTGATATAGTAAAATGATTACTTATAGTTTATATTTAAATATCTCATAAGAAATCTTTGACTTCACAGAAAATATTACTGAAGGCAGGAACTATAATTAAATTTAAATAAAATATTTGGCTGACATGGCTACTGCTCTTTTCTCATTATGCTCAATGTTGAAATGTATTCTTAAATATATCTTCCTTGCCTTTACTGAGAGTAGTCATAGCATGTATAGTATTTTGACTTCTTGCAGTATTCATGTTAATAAGATTTCTGCCACTTAGATCAAGTAATTAAGTTCTACTTTGACTTATACTTTCTCTTTTCCCATTGTTCAAACCAGAATTGAACATTTTTGTGTATTAACAATTTTTCTACAAGTGCTAATGAAAATTTCATGGTGATTAATGAATGATTTAGTTTAGAATATGCATATATTTAATATATAACATTACATTATATTAAACATTCGATTCTAGAGCTTCAAGAGCCTTAGTTTCAATTTGTCCCATTCCTCTCAATTATTTGGTCAGGGGGTTGTATAATAGGAAATACTGTTGAAGAAATCAATGGTTTGGGAAAACTTTTCAGAGGGATAGTATTTTTAACTCAAAGATAAACCTACATTTCTCCAAAGAAGACATACAGATAGTTAACAAACACATGAAAAGATGCTCAACATCACTCATTATTAGAGAAATGCAAATCAAAAGTACAAAGAGATATCACCTCACACTGGTGAGAATGGCCATCATCAAAAAGTCTACAAACAATAAATGCTGGAGAGGGTGTGGGAAAAAGGGAACACTCTTGCACTGTTGGTGGGAATGTAAATTGATTCAGCCACTATGGAAGACAGTGTGGAGATTCCTTTAAAAACTAGGAATAAAACCACCATATAACCCAGCAATCCCACTCCTAGGCATATACCCTGAGGAAACCAAAATTGAAGAAGACACATGTATCCCATTGTTCTTTGCAGCACTATTTACAATAGCTAGAACATGGAAGCAGCCTAGATGTCCATCAACAAATGAATGGATAAAGAAGTGGTGGTACATATACACATTGGAATATTACCCAGCCATGAAAAGGAATGCCTTTGAGTCAGTTCTAAAGAGGTGGATGAACCTAGAACCTATTATACAGAGTGAAATAAGTCAGAAAGAGAAAGATAAATATCATATTCTAACACATATATGGAGAAGCTAGAAAAATGATACTGAAAAAATTACTTACAGGGAAGCAATGGAGAAACAGACATGGAGAATAGACTTGTGGACATGGGGAGGGGATAGGATAGGGTGAGATGTATGGAAAGAGTAACATGGGAACTTACATTACCATGTGTAAAATAGATGGCCAATGGGAATTTACTGTATGGCTCAGGAAACTCAAACAGGGGCTCTGTGTCAACCTGGAGTGGTGGGGTGGGGAGGGAGATGGGAGGGAGCCTCAGGAGGAGGGGATATATGTATACCTATGGCTGATTCATGTTGAGGTTTGACAGAAAACAGCAAAATTCTATAAAGCAATTATCCTTCAATAAAAAATAAAGTTTAAAAAAGATATATTTTCTTCTACATGATATATATTTTAAGACCTCATTCATGGTTTATGAATAAAGAAAGCTTATCTTTAGCAAGAACTCTCCATGGGAAGCAGCCACATTTCTGGTAAAGAAAGTGAGCAATTCTCTTTATTCTCAGTTGCTTCCATCTCCTGTCTTCCTTTTCCATACCACCCAGCCTCCTGTTTGTCAGTTGCTTCCAAGAGCCCTGTGTGACTCCACTCTCCTGTGAACAGCTTTCACTTCACTTAATTTTCCCTCATATAACCCTTCTACCTCATCACCTTAGCTGACATTTTCCCTTCCCTCAGGATGTTTTTTCTCTTTAGTCCCTATCTCATGAGTCACCAATCTACTCCTTGCCTCACCAGGCCAGCTGATGAGCCTCACACATTAGCTCCCTACCACCTCTCTAAGCTACTTCCCAAATGAACATTTTTCAAGCCTGGTTGTTTTCTAGCACTCAACTAAGGTTTCATAAGAATCATCTCATTGAATTCTCCCCAAAATTTTCTTCCTAATGCTTTAGAGTAAGCTGATTTTGTGGTGTCTCTTTTCTGCTCAATCTTGAGAAAATTCTTACGTGTACCTTAAATTGTAATTTCATTCATGGCTCTACTAGTTTTTGATATAAACCTAGATCAGGAATTTTTTTCAATGCAAAGTCTATGCTAAAATATAAATATCCATCATATCTGGTTAACAACGTTTATTGACCATTGAATATTATGTGGAAGTCAAAAATGATTCATATTTATATTTGCTAAAGCAGAATAAGTTCAAATAACTATTAAATAAAGATAGTTAAAAGTTGGATATTAAATACTTTACCAGAAGATTTGAATAAATAAAAATACTAGTATTGGTTCCACATAGAATATTTCTAGACAGTTATGTGAAAACTGCTATTATACTTAAAGTACTGGGGAGGCTTTATTTTTTATTTGCATTATATTTATTTATTGATATTTAATGAAAACATGTTACAGTGATGTTAGAATTATGGGCCATTTTTATTTTCTTCTTTTTATAATTCTTTTTTGAGATAAAAGCACTATTTTTATATTTTGTTTCTAACCAATTTTGACTTTTATAGAAATTTTGTGATATAGATTTTTCAAAAAATTAATGGATATATTTTAATACTGAACCACTGAATTTATCTAAAGTGGCTTCAATGTAAAGTCAAGTTCTGATTAATTTTACAATCCTGAACTATTAGCTGCTTTTTCCTTGAGAAAAACAAAGTATAGTCTCTCTAAAATGAGACCCAAAGTTGATTAAGATAAATATTGCCATCAAATTTTGAAGAAATGAATATTAAGTGAATGTATACCACATTTGGTGGAGAAGGAAATGACAACCCACTCCAGTATTCTTGCCTGGAGGATTCCATGGACAGGGGAATCTGGTGGGCTATGGTCCATGGGATCGCAAAGAATCAGACATGACTGAGCACACAGCACATACCACATTTGGAGATAGTAGGGATTTTTATTTTGCCTTTATATGCTGGGTTGTAATACTCTCAGATTCAATCTAGAGAAATTATGCCAAACACATCAATAGGACAAATTTGTGGCCAAGATTGAGCCTATCATTCATTGTAAGAGTGAAGTGATTATTTTGGCAAGATTTCTCCTGGAGGCATTTTTAAGGAGATGATTGATAACATTATTTATGTGCTTGATGTCCTGTCTTAAAGAACAGGAGAACCATACAGCTTGTTTCAATATTATGGCAGGCCTATAAACTGGGTCAAATCACCTTTTTGCTCATCAAAAGAGGTGGAATTACTTCGTGGTTGAAGATGAAATATGTCAAATAGCTGTAGCATATTAATTTATGATACAATCTCTTTTAGTTCGAATGATTTTGAAGAGTGTGTACATACCATATACACTATCAAGACACCAAGGTACATAGCTCAAGGAATTCCTGATTAACGATGAAGATCTATCACTAAAATCCACATAGTTCTATATCTTGCCTCCCATCTCTTCTTCATGACACAAAAATGTTCTCTGAAAGGCCTGCCAGTGCCTACTCTGTGCTGAGTTCACTGTGATTGCAAATTGATTGTTTGAAGGCTTGCACTTGTCTTTCTGAGTACTGAAGTTCAGATGACAGCTGCTTAATTTCCAGGGTTTCTTTTTCCTTTTT